ACAGCCAAGAGTGCTTGGGGGTTGATATCGAGAAGCTGTCGAACTACGAAAGAAAGTTTGGATGGAGCGTTTGCATCGCGAGCATGATAGAAACAGACATGGTAAGGAGACAAGAGGCGAGGGCGATGGAGANGTTGCCGTAGAGATCATGAGGATGGTGAAGAAGCTTGGAGGATGGAAGCATAAACTATAGGAGGGAGACAAGTTGGAGCTGCTGCTGTTTGGGATTCCAAGGGACATGACGAGGATAGAGTTCAAGAACTGTTGTGACAGGGAGGGACTGCACTGCCTAGCAAGGGGACAAGTAGGCAGAGAACATGAACACTTCCGGGTGAAATTGACCAAGGGAGACAGCCAAGAGTGCTTGGGGGTTGATATCGAGAAGCTGTCGAACTACGTAAGGAAGTTTGGATGGAGGGTTTGCATCGCGAACATGATAGAAACAGAGAAGGTAAGGAGACAAGAGGCGAGGGCGACGGAGGCGAAGAAAGGACCGAGCAGGGCAGTCGAACAAGCAAGTCAGAAGAAGTCCGAGAAGAAGCGGAAGGCGAACGATGGTGTGCGCAAAATCTCCAATAGGGAAAAGCGCAAGCTGAGAGTCGGGTCGTGGAACGTGTGCGGGTTCGCAAGGAGTGAGCGCAAGCGGTTGGAAATAGTGGACCAAGTAGAACAGAGCGATCTAGATGTAGTGGGGATCCTAGAGNAGAAAGATTTGTTTCTAGGGAACGTATACGTCCCACCGTCGTCGAAGAAAGTAGCAAGCAAGGCGCAGGAGAACAAAGGACAAATTGGGGAAGATGTCCAGAGGTTCAGTAGGAAGGGAGAAGTTGTCATGGTGGGCGATTTCAACTCCAGAGTAGGGAAAGCTTCCAGTAGAGGACAGGCGATCGGGCAGCACGGAGAAGACAAAGGGCATGACAACAGAGTGAGGATGCTTGAATTCCTGGGAAGCAAGGCGCTGATGGTGTTGAACGGTAGGAGGGAATGCGATAAGCCGGAGTTCACAAGGCAACGGGCAGTTTGCAATGAATACTCAATCCTCGACTACATCCTGGTAGATAGGGGGAGCACGCAGATCCCAGAGCTGCACATAAGTGCGATAGATATAGGTTCGACCAACCACTTCCTCATATGGGCAAACATCGACCGATCTAAAAAGGTCAAGAGTAAGAAACAGAGGAAAGTGTTCCGATGGAAGGTAGAGCGTTTGGGAGACGATGGGACACGGGATGAATTCCAGAAGGGGCTGGCTGGT